TTGTCAGGGACAGCCATGGAGCATTGCGGCTCACTGGTTCTCTGGCCTTGGTGTGATCCTGTCAGGGACAGTTCAGCTGACAACCCTGGGCCCAAACCCAGTTAAAAGCTGCTGACTGCCTCAGAATCGCCCTTCCCCAGGGCGGCTCCAGAGGTGGCGCTGAAGGGGCAGGGCCCTGTGAGGGGGGCAGGGAAGGGCAGCAGGAGAAGGGATGCGGCCATGTTGGGGTCTGGGGCGCTGGCTACGGCCGGGAGCTCCCCCTCGCTCACGCCACAGGGACGACAGCGCCGCTGCCGCCCGGCATGCAGCACCTGACCCGCCTCAGCGCCCTGGAGAATTTTAGGCTGACAAAGTCAGGTGTTTCCACAAATAGGCCCCTGCCTGGAAAAGGCTTCAGGCAACGTTCATTTGAATGGCAAGAGAATAAATATATAATTTTCCTCTTGTGAATAATGGATGATGACCTTCAGTGCTGTGGAAATCTTCCAGAGACACTTGTGGTAGGAAGCGTTACATATTTGCTTACCTAATCAGCAGCATATTCGGTGTCTGCAAGGGACTGCAATCAGCAGCATGCTTTTTACATTAGAGGGGCCAGTTTTAACCTCTGCAGCCCCGCGGGGCACTGCAAGGCTGTCATGAGGGCAAGGTGCTAGGCGCACTGTAGTCACCTCATCTGCACACACAGCTCCGTGACTGTGCATGCAAACCTATTCACCTCCAGCAGTCAGGGTCTCTGAACCCTGCTACATAGGTGCTTCAATAATATGTAGGGAAGTTTTTCAAAAAACTGTTAGGGTGAAAGATATGCTCCTGTGATTTAGAAGTAAACTGACAAGGGGGAAACCACAGTAGCTTTAATCCAAATTGCAGCTGCAGTCACAGAAGAAAACAGGATGTGACGGAACATTTCTAGAGGGATAGGTGATCCAAAAAAAGGAGAGAGTGTTACTACTGAGAAAGATCTCAGTCTGTGCCCTCTGGGAGAACACTCTGACAGTCCCATCCACATGCGGAAACATCTAAGCATCTCTCTAAAATGGTGCAGCAAAAAGTAGCAAGAGTTCAGAAAGCTTGAGAGTCTCTGAGGGAGCTGGCATCAAACCAGCATCAGCAAGCAGGACTGCGAGACAGAGCAGCTTTTGCAGGTGTAGAAAATACAAAAATCATTTTCTTTATATGTACATACACACACACACTCAGATATAATTTTCCGTTGGTGCCCAGGCTCCTGTTTGAGAAGCATCTGATGAGAGGTGCTGTGTGGCTCCTGTGCAGCCCTTCCAGTCCTTGCCAGCTGTATCCTTGCAGGTGTGGGGCAAGCATGGAGAGCACATGAGCCACAGGTGTTCACAGTTTTTCACCTGTTCTGGCTCTCCATTTTACTTTGAGGATTTTCTAGGTGTATTTTAAACTCCTATTAAGTGGAGTCTAGCAAGCATCTGAAAAGCAGGTTGTGCGAGTGTGCATGTGCAGTATTAGTTGTGCAAGGGGAGAGGAGGCAAATCTGTCTCACTCTGGAATGAGAGAGAAAATCAGGTAAGCTAAACTGAATTAGTTGCAATTCTGTTATTTTTCTGTGCTGCTGCCCATGTGATGAAGTACTGGCTGTCCCCTCGAGCAGCATGTGCCTAAGCAGTGCTCATCTCCAAGGAGCTCTGAATTTTAGTTTCTTACAATTTTTCTGTTCCAGTGCTGGCCCACCCCATGGCCAGCAGATGAGAGAAAGGCTTTCTACCACCACCCCCAAAACATGTACACACCCCAGAGGCTGATTTCTTTTTCCAAGGAAATGAAAATCTCTTGGGGGAGCTGCTCAGGGCTTGCTAACCCATGCTGTAACCTCCATGGTCCCTGTTGTGTTGCTGTCGAGGACAGGGAAGCAAACGGACAAGGCCTTGCTGTGGGGAGGCAGTAAACATGAGCTGATGTATAGGAGGAACAGAAAGAGGTATCAAGGAAGGGGATATCAAAAGGGGAGGGTGACAAAGAGGATTACTGGTGAATTCAGGTAGGCTTATGGATTGTGGGAATGTGAGGCTTTGCTAGACTAGAAAAAGAATGGGTTTGGCAGAAGCTGGTTGCTACTGAGGGAAGACGGTGGTGAGACCTGAGCTAGATGGTGCCGGATAGTGAAGAGATCGTAGTAGGGAGAGGTCAGAGAAGCCCTGCTGTGGGGAAGGTCTGGGCTTGGCAAAACCGACATTTCAAGCCACAGGTGGTCTGGGACCTGTGCTTGTGTGTGAGAGCTCTGACCGCCGCAGGGTTTTGGATTTGATTTCGTTCTTCCAACCCCAGCGACAAGAGCTGCCCACCTGCGTTGTTTAGTTGAGAAATGCTTGTTCCAGCGTCAGCCAGGTGAGCAGAAGGCTGAAGTTTGTGTATTCACCAATAAGGGGATTTCCTCGCAGTCTGGCTGAAGAGCAGCAGGGGAGGGGAGAGACTGAGCAGAGCCATGAGTGACTGGGACAAAAGAGCAGATGCCAAGAGTTGGGTGCCTTTACAAATAAGGGAATTCCTCCACATTCTTCAGCAAGGGGGACAGAGGAGTCAGATGACCTTAGGTGAGAACAGATGGCGGGGGGCAGGAGTTCGGTGTAGGGGGGCCGGGAAGGCTGTAACTTCTGAGTACCTTGGTCAATGGGGAAAAGGAGAGGGCATCCCTCGGTCGGGATATTAGGATAAAAGGGGGGCTGCGTCCTCCAGCAATTTGAGAGACCCCACAGGGATATGCCCAGTGGACTCTCCCTTTATTCGAATAAATTTTAAGGACTCCTATCTCCTTTTTGGACATTCAATTATTGACAGTGAGATTTTCCGCACACGGGCATCAGCTTGTGCTTTGTGCAGAATACCTGGCATACACGCAGTGTGGAAGGGGAGCACTAGCCAGAACTGGCCATCCCCATGGTTTCCTTAAAGCCTAGGCCTAAGCTGAAAGCACCATTTGAGAGGAGATGCAGCTCCAGCTTGGGCTCAACGTATTTGAACCTATAGTGCCTGCAGTAAAACAAGGTGGAAAGTCACAATATTAATTAACTGGTTACTTGAAGCACAGAGGAAGATCTTCCCCTTCCAGTTAGCACAGTTAGTCTGAAATGGAGGAGGGGTAAATTGTGAGGGAAATGAGGCATGTGCTGTGAGAGGCGGGGGAATGGCAGCTGCTCGAGTAGCATTAGTGGGCTGGCACAGTGACTGAGCAGAGCCACGTGGGGCAGAAACACCCTGTGCTGCAGAGAAACCGATGCTGACCAGATCCCCAGAAACATGGGAAAACACAGCAGCACCCCTTGCAACCTAGTTCAGC